AGGAGGGTATTAGGTGGGGTGCAGAGAGGTGGAGAAGGACTTCATTGAAATACGGTGAAAAGTGACGGTCAAGGGGTTTTAGTGGGGTTTTGGAGGGTAACGAAAATCTTCTCTTGGAGAAGACGAGAGAACAGAGTTTGGGCCATTTTTGTCCCTCTAAGATGATATAGTTTATAATGGGCCATTTTTGTCCCTCTAAGATGATATATTTTCGGGCTAAAAACTTGACTTTGGGTTGGCAGCTGACCAATGCTACTGAGCTTAAAAGATTCAACAGAAAATTTAATTCACAAAAAATAATAAAAAAAATAACAAAGTACCATATAATTATTTGTAAAGTGACAAGTTGAATTTGTAATCTCTAAAACTATATCGTTTATAAAATAATTCTTATTAAGGGAGATTTAGTTTGAAACAATAGTAAAATCAAGGATTCACTATATGTATTTTTATTGCCTAGCAAGGATAGCTGGATAAAATGATGGTACTTCATCATGGCTAGAGAAACACTGGATGAATGAATAGAAGACTTCCCCCTTCTTATTCCAAAGTATAATGAATGCTTTTGCCTACGGTATTTCAACATAATATGCTATACATTATGTTACACATTGTGACATAGGAACACAATACAGCTTGGTGAATGCTAGTGTGCTTAAAAAAGAGAACATATATAATTATGTCTATGATTTGAGGCTACTTTTGATTGACACATTATTAGAAATTCCCTTGCCGGTGAGACCACTTTCCCTGGCAGGATAGAGCATAGTGTATGGCAACTTCACAGGAATAACCCTCAATATTCTTCATTTCGATGATCTTCTCTTCAATCTCGGATAGTCTTTCCAAGCTCTTCAAAGGCCGACAATGGTGCTGCATCAGTGGTCCATACAAGGGTGTTGCTGTGCCCTAGATAGACCTCATCAGATGAATGCCTTAAAAGGATTTCAATGAGGGAGATGCCAAGAAGAGTTTACAACAGCGCAATGATTGTTTTCAGGAAGGCCTTATCCAAGTTTGTCTCA